GCATAAAGTATGAAAAAAAGTGATTTTCTTCGCTGGCTCTTGGTCTAATATTCGAAAGATGCAATGTGCCGAAAACCGAAATTTTTTTGATATGATGGCAGATTTGTTCGTCAAGAAGTGAATTTGCCTTGAGCCAAATTTCATCGAATATTTCAAAATGCAATGGTTGGGTGTACACTCAAACTGGTTTGAAGGAGCTGCTGAATACACTCCGTATTTTCGGAAAGTTTAGTACGATTTTCGGAAAGTTGAGTTCGATTTTTGTATGTTTTAGGACGATTTTAGTTTTACCCGTTATGTTGCTTGTTTTGTTCTGAATGGCTAACAGCTGGTTTGATGTATACATACGCTTGTTGTGTATTGATGTCATGTACCCCTGTTGCACTGGTTACTTCGATTGTGTACGCTGCAATATGCATCTCTTTTTACGCCGTATAAAGCATAAATTGAAATCTCGATTGAAAATTCTGTAAAACATGTGTTTCTTCAGAGCGTTGATTTGTTTGAAAGCACAAAAATCACAATGTCATACATCATACGAATGTTCAATTTTGGGTGTATATATTTTTTGTTATGATGAGTATCAAATGTCGGAAATTTCGCGATGAACATTTTCGACGCATTTATATCACCAGCATTAGTTTGTCTCGACGGATACTTTCCACGGAGTTCTACAGGCTCTGGATTTTTCTTCACATTTTTCATTGCTCGAAACAAAGTCGATCGATCGATATTCAATATGTTTCCCACAAACGATGAACACACTCGTTGTTTATTTCCATCTTCATCGACCAAGAAATACGTCGAAACTAAATTCCTCTGTTTCAAATTTACTTTCGGATTGAATTTATATTTGACTGGTCGCTTAAATATGAGTGATCGAAGAAATTTCGTTTTGGCAGACCAATCAAATAATTCGTTGTAGTATTTATCAAAATATTCTTTATGTGTGGCAACATCGATCTTTTTAGCACAATTCAAACGGCAAGTACATTGAACTTGCGGACTGAACACTTTTGCTTCGATTATTCTTGATGGATCTGAACTGTTTTGGTGTTCCTTTCCACTCTGAACGAGTCGTTTTCGAATGGCAGATTTGTGTTCAGAGGGATTGCGTGTGGGTTTTCGAGTCGTTGGTCGACGATATTCGTCTCCATTCTCTGTAAATAATTACACAGTGATTCAAATTATAATATCGAAGCATTGAAGACCTCAATTGCAAAAATTCAACATAAAATCATATGGAACGATCGTTCACAAAAAAAAAACAATAAAAAAACAATTGAAAATGACTCTTTCTGACCTTCTTGGTCTGAATCCATATTCCTTCAATCGTGACTGTACATTGGATAAAGCAACAGTAATGCGAGTGTATCGTGAAGAAAGAAACTAAGATAAGAAAAAAAATGAAAACACCAACACTTTTTTATGCATTTCATGTTTTTTTAAACATTCAATAAATATAGAATGTCTATCAGTGCACGTTTAGATTGAATTTTGGGAGCTACGCAAAAACTATAACGAATTTCATAATGTTTGCAATCACTTTTGTATGACACGAGGCACGAACGGCAGCTATGAGTGTGCACGCGCGCATCGCTTACGACGTGTCTCGTGTGTTGTATACGCTTCTCTGTCTGGTTCCGTGTGAATGAAAGAGACAAACACTGTGTACGAGAATCGATACATGAACGAACGCGCATCACAGCGAATATGCACGCAAGCAACAGCTGCTGTCGAACATATCTGTTCACCAGCAGCAAATATATATGCAGCAGTTTCAATGCCCTGCATATTGGTAATAATGTTTCAATCTAAATTTGTAGTTAGTCACAAATTTGAATTAAACATAAAAACAGAATCTGTTTTGGAATTAAAAAATCTAAAGTTTTGGAACCCCATGGAGAAAAAAAATAAAGATAGTACCTTTTACATTTACAATGTACGTTTCATGTAACGGTAAAAATGAAAAGTGATTGCAAACATTGTGAAATTCGTTGTAGTTTTTGCGTAGCGTACAATCTTTAAAAATTCAATCTGAACGTGCACTGATAGAAATTCTATATTTGTTTAGCATCGAAAAGACATATGAAATGCACGAGAAAAAAGTGTAAGTGGATTCATTTTTTTTGTTATTTTAGTTTCTTATTATTATCTACGACAAACTTATCACTGTTGCCTTATCTAATGTACGTACAGTCACTAATTGAAGGAACATGGATTCAGAGCAAAAAGGTGAGAAAGAGTCATTTTCGATTGTTTATTTATTGTTTTTTTTGTCGACAAACGTTCCATATGGATTTTTTTCCGAATTCGTTTGAAAAACTATCATTCAAATGTCGAAAAAAAAATTTGCAATTGAAATGTTCAGTACATCGACATTAATTATAATTTTGTGATCATTACCAGATAACGCACACAAAAATCGTCAAAAAACACGCAAAAGGACTCGGAATCCATCTGAACACAAAATTGCAATTCGAAAACGACTAGTTCAGAGTTGTTTTTGTTGTTTTTTATTTGTTGAAAAGAAACATTATGATTGAACTGGTTTTTTGAATTGTGCTGTGTTTTATGTTGGATTTTTTGGTCGTACATGATGATCCGCACGATATATCACTTTCCATGTAGTAATCCATACGATGGCTCTGGTTTTGCTTCTGGTTCTTTCGTCAGTTCCAGTTCAAAGAGGAGTTCCAAAGTTTCGCATATTGCTTTCGCCTGTTGCCATTTTTCACCGAAGACATAAAGCCCATGGTCTAATACCAGAATACTGTTCACATTGGACTCATCCGTGGCCGCTTTCACAATATCGCCAACATCATTCTTTGCAATTATTGGAACTATGAGATTTTCCTCTTCTGCGGAACCGCTCGCTTTTGCTCCGATGATGCCTTCCAAATTCTTTGTGATCTGATTTTTCTTGAAAAGAAAAGAGTTGAAGATTTTTTTTCCCAATTATTCGCAAGCCACTGAATATGTGTGTACAACGGTAGAAAAACCATCTGGCAAAGGGAAAACACCAGAACACATGTCAATATTGGTTGGAATGTCTTCGATCGCAATTTTCGCTACATTTGTTGATTTGGGTAATTGCCCGTTTAAATGAGATGGCATGAAGTAAACAAATCCTTCTTTCTGTATTGCGATGCTGCCGCCGGTCCCGTTGAACCATTTCTTTTGGTAAAAATCTTGATATTTGCGGTAAATAACCCATTTTGGACCACTATCTTGCTCCAGGACTTTATTCATTTTTCTGCTCAAAAACTGCTTGTAATGACGCGGGATGAAGATGCAAATGCAAAATGTTGGAGTGGAAAGCAGCATCAAAGCAACTCCAAGCCATCAAGAATAATCGAAGCAAAAGTGTTCAGTCCTCAAGTCAAATGTGCCTGCCGTTTGAAGTGTAGTGCAAAAATTGGCGTTGATCGTCAAAGAGCAATTTCCGATCATTTCTATTTAATGAAGGAATGGACACAGAAGACTTTGTATTTGAGATCTCTTGTGCAAAGAAATATCGTTAAAGGAAACCTTAACCCCATAATTTCGCACAAACCGATTTTTTTCATGTAAATACCATTTAACAGATTCAAGTGAGATCAAACATCTAGTCTGTTTATCGTTGGTGTCGAAGTGTTTGGGAATCTCAGAAAAGACGATCAAGAGCTCCATGAAGAATGCTGAAAAAAATCCGGAATCTAATGAACGCCGTGGAAAAAAAAGTTCTTTCAAATACAAGGCACATGATGTTGATTATTTGAGACAGTTTATTAAATCCTAGGGGTTTCACGCAAACTAGAAGGCCGAAGATTTTACTAAATAGCTGGGAATAAAACCATTTTATGTGTAAACTATAGATATTGCTTCTTTTTATTCATAAACTCGAATTTTTTAGAATTTTTTGAATCTAAAAATTCTGGAAGCGGGTTTTGGTGGATCCTCAGGATGGACCAGGGCATTGTCAAACCCAGTCTGATCCATCCTGAAGATCCACCAAAACCCACTTCCAGAACCGGGAGCAGTTTTAAACGATCCTGAGGATCCTCCAAAACTCACTTCCAGAACATAATTTTCAAGGTGAATGTTGAAATATTTCGAAATAATACGGATTTTGGTGAATCCCAGAGAATGTGAGAGAAAAGAGAGAAATATTGAAATTTTAGATGAATTTTAAGTTGCGTGAAACCCCTAGATTAAATCGTATCCAGCACACGAATCACATTATAAAGTGTCAACGCCAAATTTCGGCATATTTTTAATGCTGAGTTTAATCTCAGTTTTGGTCGCCTCAAAGTCGATACCGAAAATGCTATGAAATCAATGCCAAACGTTTATCGAACATTACTGGTTCAATTCGAACGAATTAGAAAAGACGCAGGCCAATCATGATGCAATAGTAAAAAAAACAGGAAGTGAAATTAGAAAATGTATTGACCATTGAAAATGCCAGAGAGTAAAGTAGAAGTATTGACATTTGATTTACAAAAGGCTTTGCCGGTGCCTTTCATTTCTACATGTGATGCTTACTATAAACGACAACTGTGGGTTTATAACCTTTGCATCTACGACAATTTTCGAAATATCGGATTTATGCATCTAAGGAATGAAACCGTGGCCTCCAGAGGTGCTCAAGAGATGGCTTCTTGTTTGTTTAAATATCTTCTGAACAATCTGCGACACGACACCGAAAAACTGATATTATGTAGTGACACATGCGGTGGACAAAACAGGAACATTAAGATGACAGTTATGCTTATGAACTTCCTTGCCAACGAATGGAAACACGCTAATCTTAAGTCAATAGAACAACATTTTTTTTTGTTTCGGGACACTCAAACAATGCATGTGATCGATGTTTTGGTACGATAGAAATGCAAAGAAAAATTACTGAACATATATTTGTTCCGGAGCATTGGTACAATTTGATTTCGCGAGCTAAAAAAGATGAGCCAAAGTTTGTCATCGTAAAAATGAAAAGAGAAGATTTTTATAGCTCACAGCAACTTGAGAATTTGATAGTAAATAGAAAAAAATCAGTCGATGGGAAAAAGTTAATTGGCTCAAATTTCAAACCATTATTTATGATCGCAATAACCCTTTCATTTTGAGTATCAAAGAGTACAGTGCGGAAGAAACATCCACGATTTTGATTTCATTGAGCAAGAAAAAAACCCTGTAAAGTTTCCGCAAATAGAGCTCTTGTATGAAGAGAGTCGAAAGATTTCCGGCAAAAAGTACAAAGATTTGATTCACTTGATTAAGTACACTCCCGAGCAATATCACGAATTCTACAAATCGCTGAAACATGGGGCTATAAAAAAGAAAACAAACGCGCAAAAATACGAAGAGGATGAAAGCGACAATGAAAAGAAATAAATGTAAACATACTTACGTCTGATCTGAAATTTACAATAAAATCAAATGTTAAAGATTAAACAAATGATTTCTTTTTTATTCCGTCAATTTCAATGTAGCCGCAGAATGTATGAAGCGATATTGAAAAGATGAAAACAAATGTAAAAGAAAACAGAAAAAAATAAAAAAATAAAAACAAAAACAAAACAAGAGAAATACTAAACAAGAAGATGAAAAAAATACATTGGGAAGGATTAATTATTTCGATTTTGACAAAAAATGAATTGATGCGATTATGTCGGCTGCGGGTCAAATCCTATTCGGGTTGGACTGAAACAAACCGCGAATATCAAGTCCATCCACAATGCTGGATTCTCTTGTTTAAGAAATTAGATTTACTTTAATTTTTTTTGGTAAATAAAGCGAACCCAACATGCGTGAAAGCAGTTGGTGCCCCAAAAGGGTGATTCAGTTAACAAATAAAACGATGTGTTTCATTTATCTTATCATTTCAGCAATTGGCGAGAACTTGGTGATTGCCGGAAAAGTGTCGGAAATCAATTGTTGTTTTGTAGGTTAGCTTTGGTTAACTAACCTACAGTTTACTCAGTTAGTTTGTTCGGTTAGTTGAGTTAACTGTAGCTAACCTACGGTAAGCTTTGAATTTTTTGAAGTTAACTATAGGTTAGCTACAGTTAACTCAACTAACTGAGGAAACTAACCGAGCCAACTGTAGGTTAGTTAGCTGTAGCTAACCTACAGTTAACTCAACTAACCGAGGAAACTAACCGAACTAACCATAGGTTAGTTAACCAAGCTAACCTACGGTTAGCTAAGAGAAAAAACCGAAAAAAATCGAAAAAATTAGCATTAAAGCCAATTCTATTGTTACTCAATATACTTTCAATGAAAAAAAACCAATTTAGCAGGCCCGTAGCTAGACGGGTGCACGAATTTTTTCAGCCACCCCAAAAATAATTGTCATCTCAAAAATCAAAATGCGGAATAAAATCATCCTAATGAATTCATTTAGAGAGCCGAAAGTGAAGTGCTTGAATATGAATAATCGTGAAGCAAATATAATTCATGGAATTGAAATTAGAATGAGTTGCATTACGTTCTTCAATAGTATTAGTCAAAACGAAAAAAAATAGCCGAACGATACACTTCCAAACGAATTGCCGAACGACTTCTGAATTTTGTTTTATTCCATCTTCTATAATGACTTGATATTGAGACCTATAAAATCATTCTCGATATGCTTTTGTTTATATCGAATATTTATCGTCTGCGACATTTATTGTTTACATATATTGCACGCCATTCAAAAGCCAAAATTCATTCTCATGCTCTTATTCTTGAAAAGAGTTTCAGATTTATTGGAGCCAGCCAATAAATTGCATCAGTCGCGAGAAATGAGCTACGTCAGAGCAATGCCACTGATTGATTTGGTCATCGCGGACATAAAAATGTTACAAAATAAAAAAAGTTTCAACGAATTTGAAACTAAAGCAACTGAATTTATGGTTGAAAATGATTTGCCGCCAGTCCAAGAAAGCCGAAATCGATGACATTTGAAGAAAATTTTACATTAAATCAAGGGAAAATTAAGCCCAGGATATTAAATATCAAAAATTTCTTTTGTAAAATTGAAAATTACGCGTCACCCCAAAAATTGGTCATGCCACCCCATACAATCAATCCTGGCTACGGGCCTGCAATTTAGAAAAAATAATTTTGTCAACTCTTTGAATTCATTCTTTATCGCTTATAAATAAATGCGAATTCTTATTTGTGTTCACTGCACAATATTACGCATTACTTTCGAACAGAGGCTCTGTTATTGTGTATATTAACACGTAAGTGATAGTAAGTAAGAGATAGCATGAGTTTTCGCCGTCCGAATAGGAACTTCGGAGCTGGTTGAATGATGTCTCAATGGGAAACCATCGATTTTATTTATGTGAGCTTGGGTGCAGCGGATACATTATTTTCACCGAATTCCGCTCGGAAATCTGAGTTTCGGCCATGTGTAATTTGGCCATATAAACCAATGCAATTGAATAATATTATCAAATATTTACACATGGAAATATCTCGAATCATCTTCGGATGAAAGAGAAAAAAATAGCACGCCAATTCAATCGGAAGCTGTCGTACGCATAAACACTACAGTTTTAAATGCTGTCGCAGTCTCAAAATCACAATTTGTTTGTAAACAAACGGATGAACACAGTCGAAACAATTGCTGTTTAATAGGTGAAATTGGTGATAATTATTATGGAAGGAAGAAAAGGTAGTATTAAATTGTCTTTTTAACCCCATAGAAAGCGAGAGCGCGCGCGCCGAGCCTTTCTATGGGGTTAAAAAATTCTTACTGCATATAAAATGTCACACTATATACAGTGAACTTTGAATATTCACTGTATATAAAATGAGACACTATATACAGTTAACGTAACAAAAGTTCACTGTATATAGTGTGACATTTTATATGCAGGAAAACTCACTGTATATAGTGGCTGCCAACAAAGTGCCACAAAGTAAGTTTCGGCTTTAAACTGCAACATGATTTTTTATGTTGCACTTTGTTTCTCACATTTGCTTTGTGTCGCTTTGGTTCAAAAACTTGCGTTGTTGCTTTTTGTTCGTAGGCAAATGCCATGCTTCGATTCAATTCTCAAATATTCTTAGGGAATTTTTTTGTCGCAACGGTTCATATATATATTTGGTTATACACATAGCGTTTCATTTGCTATGCGTTCGTATACACATTTTGCAATACTACATAATAACTATAATAATGTAAGTAAGACATACAGTATGCAAAAGGCTAATGCGAATTGAATCATGAAATTTGTTATAAAATTTAAAAGGCTATCATGTGCTATCATATTCCGCTTGAATCGCTACAATCGCCACAAACAAAACCGTTATGAGTCTGACTTTTTTTCAATACAAAATGATCCGTGAACATCTTCTAATGAAAAAAAGTTAGAATAAAATTGTTAATTCCGTTTCTGAACACACAGTTTATTAAAAAAAAAATTATTTGCATAAGTAAACTTAGAAAAACTATAATTATTCCACTGCAAATGATTTCCATTTGAAGTTCGAAACTTCGCAATCAACAGCGCTATCTTACGTAAGTCAACGGATATACACTCCAGTCGCCATATTGACAAGTGACAAGTGACAAATGTTTTGTCGTTTCACATTTCAAGTGGGAATCGTTTGCAGTGAAATAATTGTAGTTTTTCTAAGTTTTATTGATGCAAATAAAATATTTTTTATAAACTATGTGTTGAGAAATTGAATTCACAACTTTATTCTAACTTTTTTTTATTAGAAGATATTTTTAGATTATTTCGTATCGAAAAAAAATCAGATTCATAACGGTTTTGCTTATGGCGCTGGTAGCACTGCGAACTTGTTTTTTCGTTCAACATCAACCGACTGAAATGATACCTAGCGGATATGCTGGCCCTTTAAATTTCATCTCAAAATCCGCAATGGTCTTTGTATGCGAACGCATAGCGAATGAAGTTCTACACCAAGGGGGAAACTACTACTACCGCATAATTCATATTAATACAATTTAGTACAACACCAATTCTGATAAATTCCAAAAATTTCTGCGCAATTCAAATTAATTCCAATCAATTCCGATGTTTCTAAGTCAAATTTGATGATGATCAACTTCAAAAATTGCAAATATAGGGTCATTTAGTATCTCAAAGGAATGCTTAAGCGCATAGATGTTCAATCTTATCGAAATAACTTCAGATAGGGCGTTTTTAATTGTACATAGGTTTCACTTCCAATTCAATATTTCACTTCAAATAGGTAAAGGCTTTAGGATACATAAAATATTTTCAAAATAGAAAACAGAGCTAGAATTGAGTCTTGTAGAGCAAGTCAAATTTGTTCTGGAAGTAAAAATCTTCAATGTGCATTCAACTGAATGGTAAATGTCCCTATATTTGCGATATTTTAAGTTGATCATCACCAAATTTGACTAAGGAACATCGGGATTGATTGGAATTGTTTTGAATTGCGCAGAATTTTTTGGAATTTTTCAGAATTTGTATTGTAAAGGGTGACCCAATAGGGATGATAGTTTTTCCAATAGGGATTGCTCGGCAACTGTCAAACATTTTAATGACTTATAGCTGTCAAAATATTCAGTACGTAGGTAACTATTTATATTTTGCGCCTAACCAATTTTTAGTGTTGCCAGATGCAAACTGGAACTTCCATTGGAAAATTTGACATTTTTTAGGAATAAATACGTTGACAGATCGAAAAAAAGTTTGCCCCTTTGGTTACACCAGCCCTTCAAAGTGTGGTCCTACCCCATTTTCATACAAAAAAAGTTTTGACGAGTTAGCCATACTGAGCACCTTCTGAGGACAACTTGAACTGCCATTGTGTTGCTTATTGATTGTGACTAACAAACACATAATTACTGGGATCCGGCCATACTTATTGTCTTCACAATGGCAATGAGTAAAAATCCCTAAAATTTCCCATACAAATGGACCACACTTTGAAGGGCTGGTGTAACCAAAGGGGCAAACTTTTTTTCGATCTGTCAACGTATTTATTCCTAAAAAATGTCAAATTTTCCAATGGAAGTTCCAGTTTGCATCTGGCAACACTAAAAATTGGTTAGGCGCAAAATATAAATAGTTACCCTCGTATACTTTGCCATTTCATCATGCATCGTTTCACGCTTCCCGATCGTTTAGAAATTATTAAAAAATACTATCGAAATTCCGGTTCAGTTGTGGCTGTTGTACGTGAATTTAGTCATGAGCTTGGTCGACATCACCACTTCAATGACCAGGTTGTTCGTCGCACTGTGGCCAAATTTGAACGTGAGTTTACTTTATTGGACCTTAAGCCACCGACCAGAGCAAGGACAGTTCGAAGTGAAGAAAACATAGCCGCCGTAGCGGCCAGTCTTGAAGAGAGCCGTGAAACGTCGGTTCGACGTCGTTCGGCTGCTTTGGGCCTCTCCAGAGAGACAACACGGCGCATTTTGCGATTGGATTTGGGCCAGCACCCTTACAAAATGGTGATGACTCAAGAACTCAAGCCAGAGGATCACCAACAGCGGCGTGACTTCGCTAATTGGGCGCTGGAAATGTTGGATGAAGATCCCGATTTTGGCCAAAAAATCATCTTCTCCGATGAAGCTCATTTCTGGCTGAATGGCTATGTAAACAGCCAAAATTGCCGTTATTGGAGCGACCAGCAACCAGAACTGTTCGAAGAAGACAAAATGCACCCAGCAAGATTGACCGTTTGGTGTGGTTTATGGCATGGTGGCATCATCGGACCTTATTTCTTTCGAAATGAGGAAGGAGAGACCGTAACCGTAAATGGAGACCGATACCGAGCGATGTTAACCGAATTTCTGTGGCCAGAACTTGACAACATCGATCTCACCGAGATGTGGTTCCAACAAGACGGCGCCTCATGCCACAAATGCAAAGCATCAATCGAAGTTCTGGAAGAGAAGTTCGGTGAGTGGATTATTTCACTCAATGGTTTTGTCGATTGGCCGCCGCGCTCATGCGATTTGACACCTCTCGACTTCTTTCTTTGGGGGTACGTCAAGTCATTGGTCTATGCCAACAAGCCAGCCACTTTAGAAGCCCTCGAAGCCAATATCCGTGATGCCATTGCTGCAATAACGCCACAAATCCTGGATCGGGTCATCAAAAATTGGACCGAGCGAATGATGAGCTGCAAGCGAAGTCTGGGTGGGCATTTGAATGATGTCCTGTTCCATACATAATGGCATAAATGTAGCTTCAAAATAAAGCCAAAATCAATTTGATATCTCAAGCCGTTTTTGTTTTATTTAATTTTTTTTTCCTATCAATCTTATTGGGTCACCCTTTACTAGATTGTATTAATATGAATTACGCGGTAGTAGTTGTTTCCCCCTTGTTCTACACACAGGGAAGAGTGGTTCAGATTTTTGGTACAAATTGATATTTTTTTTCGTAAAAAAAGTAAAATTAAGATATCTTAAACAAAATATATTTTCTTCCATACAATTTTTGTCTGAAAAAAAAAATCCATTGTAAAAAAAATCTGACCCATTCCTCCCTGTGTGTATGCATTCCCTTGTAGCAGAACTATGTAAAGATATTTTGTGTGCACTGTGCAGTGTGCGCTTGTGTTTTTGTTTGTCAATTCGCTGATTTTACGCCCCTTTCGATTTCAGCAAAATGTGAATGAAAGAGAATCTTTTTTCAATTTTAAGCTCTGACATAGGCGATTCGAAACAAACACTGTGAAACCGAAAAAATGGTTTGATCAAGAGCTCAAAGAAATGAAAATTAAAAAATTAAAAAAATATCAAAATTGGATAACAAACAAAAGTTAGTTGATGATAAGTTTGTTAAAGTCGTTGCGGGCTATTGCTCGCTGAGTTTGTTGAAAAAAGAATCAAATGAAAAAAACGTTACCAAAATCAATTCTCGTGCCTATCAATTTGAAAAAAATTTATTTCGGAGCGATATAAAAACTAGTTGGAAGAATGCAAAATAAGTGAGTTGAAATCGCTCCGAAACGATTTTCCAAGAAATTGTTATCACAAGTTTTGTGTTCGTTTTCGTAAGGAGAATTGCCTTTGTTAAAGTTTTTGTATTTGATGAGTTTAACGAAATGAAACAAAAAAAAATTGAACCATTTTTTTGATAATTAATTTTTTCCATTCTTTTTTTCAAGGATCAAATTGTTTTCTTTATTTTGATGTCGAAAAATATACATTTATTCCTCCAAATTTCAAACAAATAACTGTTTGATGCCACCAACAGAAACTACCAATCGGTTCTATTCATATTGCTTTGGATCCAATCTATATATGAATAGACATCCACATGGCTCCTCTTGTTGTCTACAGATTATCAGATGACACATTAAATCTTCAATATACAGAATAAATCTCATATTGTCTCTCTTAAAAGCTGCTTACCTTTATCACACTAAAATGCGAAATAAAATCGAATTGTTCAGTGTGCAATGAGAGATTCTATTCAGTGTTTTACCTCTTTAGTGTGAAATGAGCTTACTCCAACTACATATTCACCAGAAATCATTGGAAATCCTGTAATTTTTAAATTACAATGAAATGAATTAACTAGTGAATTATATATTCAAATCAAACCAATTAAATGTTTTACCATAATCAACGCAATGCAATACTCGGTTTGATTTAATGCTGATATGGTTAACGCGGGATTTTTCTATATATGCGACTGCCTCTCCAATTTCCAAAACCTAAAATTTTTTGTTATGAAATTATAAAAAAAAAAATCCACTGAAGAGGACCGATTCTCCAAGTTACTTTTTTAATTCCCACTCCAGTTACTATGACTGTACCATGGCTAAAATAGTCTATTGGTAGTCTAATTGGTTGAATGGTATCCGATAGTTGAATCTGATCTTTTGTTCGTAAAAGACCCAAATCAACGACATTATTGGAAAACTCCGACTGAGATATTGTCATAACGCCACCCGGTTTATTTTTATATTTTTTCCATGTTTCATGGTATATATAATGTCCAATACCAATTTTTGTACCGCCCGCATCAGCGTTTACCGTTCCAATATAAACCTCACTCATATGATCTTCATCACAAGCAACTGCACAATATCCGGATGTCAATATAAACTGTTTTGTAATGATGGATCCACCGCAAACCAATTTTTCTTTTGTGCAATAGAATCAAGATATGTGACAATGTATAAAAATTATTTCAAGTCATTCTTACCTCTTTGATCATTTGAAGCTGATATCAGTGCAATATATGACACTTCTTTGATGTCAACTATATTGCCTCCTATTCGACGTACAGTTGATGCAACAAAGATATATAATATCAATGCCACTTTCATGTTGTATTGATTGAAACAATTGAAATGTTCGCTCTTAATCGTCACTCGTTTGAATGCGGTTTTCAAGTTTCCTCAATTATAACCCTTTCTTCAGATGAACTCTATCTTCGAAGTAGGAATGACGAAAATGCATATACAACTTGAATGCTAGTCTAGTTTAATTAAAGCAAAAACAAGCAATTCAAAGTAATACTTGACTAATTAATTAAAAAATACTCTCTGATATCAGCTTTGCTGTGTGTTTTACTAATTACTAGAAATTTCTTCTAATTCGAAAAGCAAGGTGAAACAATTGTTTATGCATGAATTTTATATTGCTAATGGGAGCGGACTATATACTACTACGCATTAAATTTTCATGCAAATGAGTTGTTCTTAGCGCACATATGCATTGAAAATTGCGATTAAATTATATTACATCACAGTCATTTAATGACTGACTTTTTTCAAGTGACTTTAATAATTGAGCAACGAAACGAATTAGCTGGTTGCTTATGGAAAACTACTTGATTTTGATAATGTAAAAAACAACACGTACGCCATCTTCTCCAATGATGTAGCTCTATTGAACTATGCATAATTTGGCGCGCATTTGTCATTGAAAATGACAGCAAACATTCTAACTTTCTTTTTTTCTGCAACTGTTGAATGTGTCACAATGTGACACTGTCACATCGTATCAAAAGTAAGTATAGTTGTTTTTCTTTTTTTTCAATCATTTTACAACAATGCTTTGCGAACGTTTTTTTTTTTTGGTTATTCAAAGCAGTTTTGTCATTCCACACTAGAATAGAAAAAAAAGATTATTGTTTAAAATTGTCCGAAAATGAATTCTAAGTCGAACTATGAATTTTCAAAAATAGGTTCGAATTTCGAAATGATAATTTACGAAATTCAAATTGAAAAATATATTTATAATTTCAATATTGGGCCCATAGAACATTATTAAAAAAATGTTTTTTTTTTTATTTCGAAAATCCAGGTTGGTCCGATTTGGTCCAAAAGTTATCAGGTCTGAGGGATCATAGACTTACAACACCTGGCCAAATTTGAACGCAATCGCAATATGATAGCTGAAGAGAAAATAGAAGAACAAATTTTGTCCGTCATAATCACTTTTAGTCAGCTAAAAAGTCCGGAATTAGGCGGCTGGCTAGTCAGTCACAAATTTTTCACACGGGTATGGTTACCGTCGAAGCCGGAGTATCGACTACGATGCTTATGGTTATGGCACGTATCACCACCGCTAACGAGATCTCGTACTGATTTTCTAAAGAATTCAATAAATAAAAAAATACAACAATGCGCATTATTTCCTTTATTTGCTTTTCCCATGTCGTCTTATTCACTGAATAACCTCTTTATGTGTCCACTCTGTCAATCAATGACTTTTGTTTGTTTTGCTATCAATTTGAATCGCAGTTTTGGCCGTGCAATTTGTATTCTTCATAAAACTACAGTAAATACTCTCAATTTTCCGTAATACCGATAGTCGCCAATGATCGCAGCGTTGTGCTTCAGCAATCCATTTTGGCCATCTGACCAGTGGCCTAATTCATAAAAGTCGTTCGGCACCAAACGCGCCGAACGCATTCGATTTTTCGTGATTTTGTCTACCGAACGTAATTCATAGAGTTGCGAACGCGTTCGGATTGCAAGAACATAGAAAAAGATTGAGGACCGAACGTGTTCGGCAATGATTTGGTCCGAACGTGTCCGGACACCGAAGTGGTTTGGGCAAAAAGGGCATATTGCAGTTTAGTTCATTTTGACAAGATCTAGAACTTTTCCGGAGACATCAAGTGAAAATTCCATGCCGTTTAGAAGTTATAAACCAAATTTTCCGAATTTCCCGGGTCTAAAACTTCTAAACGGCATGGAATTTTCACTTGGTGTCTTCAATTTTTGTTCGTTCGCAAAACAAAGATAAAATCTGCGAACGAACAAACGAACGACGTGGACACCCCTACATCCCATGGGCGGTGAATGTGTGCAAAAGTTGGTACGATGAAGAAGATAGCAGCTTCGGTATTGCTTCGCCCAGCTCATACCACGGCCACCAACACTTTTAACAATTCCGCCGGTGCTGTCATCCCGAACATCGGCGTTGTTGAAGGCCCGTTGACGCAAGGGCAAGCTGACGGCTACACCAGCCAGATGAAGAACAACATGAAGAACCGGATCAACTCGGTACGGCAAAGCTTCGTAACGAGGCTCACCAACCTCCAGGCCAACCGTCAAGCGGCCCAGAACGTCGCGGCCGCTCAAAACGCCGTCCAGAATGTCGCCAACGCCGCTTTCCAACAAGGTGTTGCATAGGTGTTAGATGTATACATACATTGCGAAAAATTGAACGTATCAATGGACTGGTCAATTGTAACTCGCGAGCACATCAAATTGTTACCATTCGAAGACGATAACAAGGAAGAGACCATCGAGTATATAGTTGCTCCACATATGTGTACGACGCTAAACGCAACAATTTCGGCTCTCATGCACTGATCAACTGGGAAGAATTATTGAATTCGAAATACTATTAGATTAAGTTCGAAGATGAGCTATTTTCGACCCTGGGGTACTTGCCTTAAGAAAAACTTCAAAAAAATTACAATTTTGTATATGAGGTACCCGTAAATCGACTCCGATTGGCTTCAAACTTTCTGAGATTTCATTTTTGACGAAAAAATAAGATTCTGAAAGTTTGAAACCAATTGGAATCGATTAACGGGTACCACCTATACAACATTTTCGAAATTTTCACGAAAATGCCGATTTTTCGAGAGTTTTGTATGGGAGCTACCCGTAAATCGACTCAGATTGGCTTCAAACTTTCTGACGTTTCATTTTTTGGAGAAAAAATGAGATTCTCATGCGGAATCGATCGACAAAATATTCCCTCAATGAGGCAGGTATAAACTACAAAAATACACGCATGGAAGTGGCTACCAGATGGGGTTCGCTCTATTTGATGGTGAGTTTCATAATGCAAATGTTCTATTTTTTTGTACTGATAAATTTTGTTATGAATATAAATCCATTTGTTTGTGAATAAATCAAATAAAAATACAATAAGAGCATTCTCATATTTTAATTGCCATTTTCATCAATTGATAGATGTTGGACATTCGAAACAGCAAAAAGGCACTGGAGTACCTTAGTGAGCACCAAAAAGTCAAAGTTGCCCGTTTGTTGCTACGACGATGGAACGAACTGAAAGAAATGGTCACCATACTGCAAGTTCCATATAAAGCCACTGTAAAACTTCAGAAGCGTAACGAAACATTGTCCGGTGCATTTGGCATATGGCTCAATTTAAACGTTTGGCTGCAAGGACCGGAAATAAGCCGTTTAAACAAAACCAACCTTGCAAAATGTCTCGTTGATGCATTAGATAGCCGGAAAGAAGTTATATTCAAAAACTCGTCTATGCTTTGCGTCATTTACCTTGATCCGAGATATCGATCTGAAATTTTGCATGATCGCGAATTAGTTGAGGAGGCCGTAGAAAAATTGACAAATCTATGGAATCGCATACAAAGCATCAAGCCGCAAATTGCATCATAGAACCAATCAAACTGCTCAGCGGAGTCATCAGATTTGAGTATCGATTTCGATAATCATGAGAGTTTGGACAGATATATTGCTCATGGTGCAATTTTTGATGGAAATGTGCAGTCAGAAGGCGTACGCTGTGGCGTAGACATTAGAATGGAGATTGAACAATTTCAACCGAACATTTTGTCAACCAAATTAAACGTTATAGAGTTTTGGGAATCTATTAAAACTGACAATGAAAACCTATACGAACTTGCGATGGTAATATTTGCCATTCCACCTGAGGTCCAGATTGAAGGAGATTTTTCAACACTTGAACATGTTTTTAGTCCAAGAAGATGTAAATTATCTTCTATTTTGCTAGAAGCCATTCTTTTGATCAATCTTAATGCTGATTTGTTTAAAATTGTCAAGGAAGAAGAACTGTTCGAAGAATTACATAAAACTGTAGAGAGAGAGGACAAAATACAATCACGCTAAATTTGTTATCGCCTTGATTTCATGAAAATAAAAGTCAACATAAATCCAAAACAAAAAAAACAGTGTTCAATCATTTAATATCTTTTTCAGTAGTCAACTCATTTAATAGCAAGAATGTTTACAGATTGTCATTCAAATCTTGAACATAAATTAAAACCAAACATTTTTGAATTTGAATATCGAAAATAATATTGAATTTGTTGCATCAACCAACGGATTATTTTCGTTGCATACAACAAACAGCCGTCTTTTTCTTTGCCAACGAATGGATGTCAAAGAAGAAAAGAGATGAAGAGCGATTCTCAGTAAACGTAGCGCGCGTTGCTGACACACGGTAAAGTGTCGCGCGCTCGCTCAGTCATACACACAACCGTCCACATAACAACGAACGTCGTGTGTATGACTGAGCGAGCGCGCGATACTGCACTGTACGCAAGCAACGCACTCAGTTTCCTGAAAACGCATGCTCAGCATATATCCACAGCTATCTGTCATTGACTGCGCGTTAGTACCAGTTTTTGGTGATATTTCGCAAAACCGTGGTAAATGTAGGTATTGTACTTGAAAAATTGTCTTAGTGTAATATTATCACGAAAATCAACTTAACACGTGTTAAAACAAAAGACATATTTAGAGCTTGAGAGGGATGAAATTCCGCAGTTTCACCGTCGGTGGCTAGAAAGTGTATGATAAGTCTGATGAAATGAAACAGTTTCTGGGTACATTTGTGCAAAAGGTCACCGACCTACGCATGGTTTCTGATTTAAGAAAGAAAGCCGCCCTTCCAATCCATCCATAGACTGTCTGCAAGATCATGGCGAGCTGTCGTCAAGACTTCATCGCTTGATGTCTTGACGACGTAAGGTCAGATATTTCTAATGAAGGAAGTGCCGATCAAATAGCTCGACGATGAATTTGGCATAGCTCTCGCGGTGTCGATTGAAAAAAAATCCACTCAAAACAGCTTGACAGTTCAGCTCACGTGGAGTCCATTTTTCACCAAGGACTCTAACATTTGCATTTAAACAAATGTAAATCGAGAGCGATTCTGAAAGAAATCCAGAAGAAAACTGGTACGACTATA